AAGATACGTAGGCACGAGGGCCACAATCCTTGTCGAGCACATTCCCCCTTATATCTGTAGTTCCCCGAACTACGTCGACTCTGATTTTCTCAGGTCTATCGAGAATATGTAGGCCTAGGACCGCGAAGTCCTACCGAGTCCGTCCTTTCTCTCTTCTTCCCTGTTACGTCCTTTCCCCGTTTCTAAACCCTTTTTTCACTGTCCCGTGGAACACTTTTATAACATAATATTTAAGCAAATAAATTTACACATTCGACAAACAAATGGTTCCCATCGGGTACGATGGATGCAAGGGGTGCTAATACCTTCCCCTCGCATAACCGGCTTCCGAACCCGTTCTTGGTCGCGAGACCATCTTATCCGTTCTTTTCTTGAGGTTTTCTCGATATTTTCCTTTCCCCTCATGGGATAAATAAAATTCGGTGGCGATTCTTCTGTCCTTTTCCTTTTCGCCTTCCCCGTCGTTGCGCGTATTTTTTGAGTAGCAACACTCTGGATTCAGAAAAAACATATTAAAAAAATTGTGCATCCTCTTCACATAGTTCTAGACCTTCTTCCCTTCATTCAAATCTTCACCAGTCTTGTGCATATTCGATTAGAAGGCTGAATTATTCTGGATATTCTTGTGTTCCAACTCTAAGACTATAAGAGAGTGCTTGAAATACTTTTAAGGAAAGTGACACCATTTGCGATTCTAGCCTCATTCCAATTGTTTTAAAATTAATTTTTCTAACAGACATGTCATTAAGGTGAGCATCATAATTGGCCATATTGTTTCTAAATTCAAATTCACCCCTCATACAGAAAAACATGGATAGCGAGAAATAAAGCAATTGAACAGGTTTACAATAGAGGCCTTATACAATGAACTTCCACATTATTTGTTAGAACTTAAGAAATGTGTTATTAGTATAATGGTGGAAATGTTGTCCAAATATATAGATGAGGGCACTACTGTTAATGAACATGTAATCTTCCATCGACTATTTTGAGCATTTCAACCATGCATCAGAGGTGTTGCATATTGCAAGTCTGTTGTTCAAACTAATGGAATCTGGTTATATGGTAGGTATAAATGGACTCTACTTATGATAGTAGTATAAGACGATAACTGTAATTTTTCCGATGGTGTTTTCTCTGGTTAAAGGTGAGACAACAAGTGGTTATGGTTTCTTTCTAAAGAACATAATAATGTATGTTACTTCGCAAGTTGGGCTATATTTGATTTCAGACAGACATGCATCGATTAATAATGTGTATAATAATCTAGATAATGGTCGATAAAATCCACCATCAATGCATGTCTATTGCATCATACACATTCCTCAGAACTTCATGAGAGAGATCACAGACAAAAGCCTTTAGATATCTCATTGTAAAACAACAAAGGAGATTTGAGATACTTTAGAAGTCACACATGAAGGCACGATAAAGGTAAAAAGATCTAAATTAAACACTTTATGACAAGAATATGAAATGTTTAGAATGCAGTCCCACGAATTTATTCTTTATTTGCAAAAGAGATTTAGCCATTTAACAAATCATTTGACAACTCTCAATAAAACTTTTATAAATAATGAATTAAATCTAAATGTGCTTAGATCTTTGACAAAAGCATGGCAACCAAAGGTAACATCTATTTTGGGAAAGTAATTTTTTTCTAAAATGTATTTTGTAGCATTGTTCAAGAACACGAGATAGAACTTGAAAAACTAGAAAGACATGAAGATGAAAGAAAGAATTTAAAAAATCTTGCATTAACGACTAAATTCAAAAATCATGATAGCAATCAAGAGGATGAGTCAACTTATGATAAAGATGATGATCTTATAAAAACGTGTGAAAAATTCTTAAGAAAAGAAAAGAAAATGGAGATCATTTAGAAAGAAGTACCAATAAGGAAGGTAACTTGCTTTGAATGTGGAAAAAGAGGACATGTCAAGAGTGAATGCCCTACACTTGAAAAGAAGAATAAATTCAAAAATAAGAAGACAAAAGGCCAAAGAAAGCATATATAGCATGGGATGACAATGAAATAAGTTCATCTTCAAATGAAGATCATGTAAGCAAGACATTATAGGCATCACATCATTTAAGTGATGAAGAACATGAGGTTAGTGATTCTGAAATTGACGATAGTTCTTCATATGATGAATTACAAAATGCTTTTCATGAATTATATGAAGAATTTTTTAAAATTTCTAGACAATGTTCAAATACAAAGAAAATAATTTTAAAACTAGAAATCATGGCTAATGACACAAAAATAGAATTGGAAGAGGTCAAAAATTCTACATGCAATAAATGTCAAGTTCATGAATCTAAAATTGTTGAATTAAACTAAGTGATCAAGAAATATTGAAAAAGTCAAATTTGTTTAGTAAATGTGGTAAGTAGTCAAAGATATTCAAGTAATAAATATGGACTTGTTTTTTTATAGTTTTGATCAACCTAGTACAAGTAAAACTATGTTTGTAAAGACTACTAGCAAATTTAACAATAAGGAATCAAAGAAATTACATGTTGTAAATTATCATAAAAGGCTTTATTATAGAAATAACTTTGATGTCAATAAAAAGAATCATATTTTTAGACCTACTTGTTTTTATTGGACCATACTTATAATACTTACGACACAAGAAATTTTGGTATTCTTTATGGTGAGTATGTATGGATGAGAAATTAATATAATCCAAGAAGATCCAAAGAATATTGGGTACCTAAAAAGTACTATTAATTATTTTGTGGGTACTTGAAGATCATATGCTAGTATTGTCAATTCAAGATTGATCTTTCAAGATACAAGCTATATGATATGGTAGAATGCTTCATTGGATTAAAGATGATTTGAAAAAGATAGAAATCAAATCATATATGATGAAGATAAGTTCTTTTATGTTTAATATATCATTTCCCTTATATCATTACACTCATTTAGATTTTACTGTTTTTCTTTTTTATAGTGTCAAAAGGGGGGGAGAAGAGAGATGATTGTTTTTGTTGCTTTTCAAGATCCCAAAGACATCATAACATAAATTGTAAAAGAAAGAGGGAGATATACAAGATAGTGGAAGAAATTAAAAGTCAAGCAAAAACTCTTCATCAATATATTTTGTCATCATAAAAAATGGTAAGATTATAAAGAAGATGTTAATCAAGCTTAGTTTTGATGAAGACAAAAGTCTATCTTAAAAGAGAGATCAAAGAAGAAAAAGATTGAAATCAAAATATCAAGTTTAAATAAGTTTTTGGGTTTCAATGGGATTTGATCATAAACCAAGGTCTGATGTGCAATTTAGTTGTTATAAGGTTTATGTGCTTAAAAGATTTAATCATAAACTTTTAAGCATTCATAAGTTTCAAAATTGCCTTTTAACTTAGTCAATTTTCAATATTTTATGAAGGTAAATTAATTTACCCTTTAAGTCAATAGATTTATATTGGTTATGTTAAAATGAAAATTTGGTTTTCTAAATAGGTCAGTCGATTAATCTACTATGTCAATCGATTTATCATTCCATTTTTGAACTATGTCAATTAATTAACCATTCTAAACAAATTAATTTACCCTTTGTTTTTTCTCATATTTTTGAACGTTGAGGATGAGTAAATTGATTTACAACGGTAGCTTTTGGAAAAATATGAATCAGCATAATACATTTTCATTCCATTCTTTCACGAATCATTCTCCTAAAGCAAAGTAAATTATTTCTTATTATTTTAAAGTATTGCAAATCTTGTAAAAATGATGTCTTATGATGTATAGATAGTAGAATAACTTGATAGTAAAGGTTACCTCTTTCATGAACAATTTTATTTTGTTTTTAAATGTCAGTAATATTTAACACGAAAATTTTTTCTTGCATAATTTTCAATCATATGTGAATTTTTTTTAATAAAAAACACTTGAACACTTAAATGTTCATATCATCTTAATTTGTTCATTGAAGGAGAAGATTGAATTTTCAATATATCATCTTGATTGTTCTTTCTACATGTGTTTGCAAATAGTAAGAGTTGTGTTTCTATTTGTTGAAAAAGTTCTTTGAATCGAGGTGATTCAAAGTCCATCATAATTATATGTTATTTATTTTTCTGTATTTTTATCATTATTTAACCAAAAAAATAAAAGAAACATTCATATACAAAAATAACGGGATAGTTTCATTAAACCTAATTCACCCTTATCATGCACTCTAAACTTACATAACGTCTGAAAATATACTTTTAAAATTAAGAACAATATTTTTAAAATTTCAAAAAATAACTATTTACTATGAAGGGTGGGAAGAGAAACCCCTAACATAAATGATAAGTTAATTCAAATTCTTATTTGAACTACATAAAATTCTTTTATATCTGAATTGTTATTAATTTCAATATCCCATCCTAATCTTTCCACCCACAAAAATAAAAAGATCATGGTTATCCTAATTTTTTCTTCTTTTAATTTTATTTTTTAATTAATTATTTTATTTAAATTTAATTGATGTATATCAAGAATATAAAAATATTTTATACTATCAATTAATTATGATTATTACATTTTTATTCATATTTAATTTTTACTTTATGAATAATTGTGATATAATAACGTGAAAATATTTTATATTAATACTATATAACAATTAATCTTTTATTTTTAATAAAAAAATTTAATTGAGTTTAATGGTTATACAAAAATGGTGTAAAATTTTACATTGTTATTTAATATAAATTCATCATTCAATTCTGTTGTGTTATTAAATTAAAAAATTATTCATTGAATCATTAACTTAACTTCAAAATTACACGTTTGATTTAGTAGAATAACTGATTGGTATAATGTAAAATTAATTTCTCGCTCCTACTTTCTCTTTTTAATTACAATACTTAATAACTTAACACTATGTAAAACATATTTTCAACGACGAATTATACAAAATTAACTATTAAAATTGAAAAGGATATGAGAAAAATTTAATTGCAGTCGTTTTGTATGCGGAGGATCAGCATCTACGATGGGAGACATTGTGGAGGACGATGAATCGGAGAAGGTAGAGATCATCCTCAGAACCATCGGTCCCGCTCCACCTTCTCGTCTTCGAGTTCCCTCTTTCATCAAGGTTTCCCAATTTCCACACATTCTATTTTCCAATTTCTAGGGTTTTATGTTTTCGTCTAGAAATCGATAAGTCAAATAGTATCAAGTAAGATTCATACATGATTACCAACAATTTCACTAAACAATAACACCTAGAGTTAGTTTCAACTCGTATATACTGAAAATGAATGCCTCAGCCAAGTTTGACTTTGTAGTTCATATTGATTATAGCTTTGTTTTGCCAACAATTCTAATGGGTTTGATTTGTTTATTACTATAAATCACTTATAGGTGCGTGATTTGAGAAGATTAATTGCAAGTAATGGTCATTTGCCCATTGACAACTTGAGTCTTATTCTACGCGGAACTGCTTTATGTGACATCAAAAATGGAGATGATGTGCGGATACAACTAAATGACGGAGGTATAATTCTGATCTTAATTTTGTTATTTGATGAATTCGCCATATTTTCGTTGACATTCTCACCTTAAAAGTCCAACATTGTCTCTGATATGACTTTTGGTAATGAACTTTTGTTTATGATTTCTATATGATGGTTGCACCATAATATATATCAGTTTTCCACTTTGATATCAATGTAATAAGTTTTCCTTTCAAAAAATACTTGTCTAGTGTATATTGTACAGCATCTGTGTAATCACTGATTTGAATCATTCTATCAGTAGCTTCCTTACTTTGGTTGTATAATGGATTAGGAAATAATATACTTTTTGGTGATTATATTGATCCATTCTATGTATGGGATCATTGTACTTTACCTTAATTAATGATGATGTGACTGTTAATTTTTCTTACAAGATGTGGTTTTGTTGCATTATTTTAGATAGCTTGATTGTTGCGGTCAAACCAAAGCCACCAGTGAAGGATGAGCACGAAAACGATGATGACGATGAAGATTTGGTAAAATCAATTAAACGACATATAATGAAGTGATCAAAATGTCAATTTGGCACTTGATGTCGTGTTTTTATTTCTGCAGAAGTTTCAACTTCCCCCGTCATCAAGTCGGTGGAAAAAGAGGCTATACTCTTTTCTACATGATAAGTTGAAGTTTCCAGGTATAACTTCCATAAATGGTATTCAGTTGGGACGCTTCTATAGTATTGTTTGGACCTTGGATATCTGAAATTTTTTATTATTCACCAAGTTATATCAATTTGGCTCAGCATATGAGATGTTTCTATGAATATTGTGTCAGCCTAACCTATTTGCATGAGGAGTTGAGGACAAAATTGATGTAAACTTTAGAATTAGAGTTGTTTGGTATATGTGTCTAATATTCAAGAAGTTATTTCAGATGTCTGGATCTCTCATTATAAGTAGCTAACGTCCAGACGGGTACTCCTGTGCCCGTTTGTCCGTTTTTTAATGTGCACACGTGTGAAAATATAAATGGTATTTTTTTGTGCTTAATTTTGATTTTAATTTAAATTATTTCTAAAATGGTAGAAAATAATAACCACCATATAACCGTTAGTGTGAGAGAAGTTAAGGTTTACTACAAAAACTAAAAAGGGTATATATGGAACAAAAATTTGATTATTATAGATTATATATAATAATATTACCCATTCATATGAACAATCTTTTAAATATGTTCATTATCCATTGACAGATATCATTTTGATGCTAATTTTCACTCTGAGTCTGAAGGCATGGATTCTCATAACTATGTGGTTTATCCTGGCCCCTGTTGCCCATAGATGGGATCTCGGACCTTTGTATGTATGTCTCCTTTCATCCTTACTTTTTCTTTTGCATTTTTTCCTTTTACATTATTATACTTGTATACATTAAAATGTTATGTCCTTTTATTGTTTGTCACCACCTTCATGTAGATACTTGCAACTGGCTTTTGTCTCATCCTCTTCAATCTTGGAAAGCGCAAAGCTGGTGAATCCAGGTATAACCCAAAGTTAATTGTTGTGTTCTATATCTATTTAGTCCCAAAGTGCAGTGCGATGTGAAAAATAAACCTAAGGCAACATAAAATCATTTGACCCCAGTCCTCAAGTCCTACAAACACAGTATATAATTCATGATCCTGCTATGGGTATACCCTTCACCACTGCCTCTTTAGTTATTCCTGAAGACTTTGATCTACTGCTGCTCTGGAAGTGGCAGAGCTTCTCATAGTTTTGTGGGAGGGTCGAAACAAATAAAAAAAATGTATGAATATAATAAACTATTTATATACAATATTCAATGGAATTAAATTTGGTTAAAGGGTTAGCATCCTTGTTTTGTAGGAAGAAAAATGCAGTTCAAATCCTGAATTTTTCAATTTTAGACTTTAATTTATATCTTCCAGAGAAAATATAAAAGAGTTGCAAAAATATAATGTTTAAGGGTCGAACTTGCAACCTGCTCCTCGTTCAAAACATAACTTGCCACTGGGTGTTAAAATATGTCACGTAGTAATACTATATATATTAATTTGTTTTTTGGGGTTTGGGTGGATTGTGGTCCACCCCAGTCTCCATTACAATCCACGCTGGCTACCAATTGTGGCTTGCAGTTGAAGGTGGGTGGGGGTTTAACCCCTTTAATGCTTCCTGTTTCTTCTGAGGTATGCCTCTGCTTGTGGTTAGCATGGTGCTTGACTGCTTGATGCTAATTTGCATTTTGTTTTGTTATCTAATGGTTGTCAGGCTCTGTTTTGTGTCTGATTGGTGACATGCTATTGTCCATAAACTTCAGTCGCTTGCATTTGGTATTTTAGTTTAATATGTGATAAATTTATTTTAATATTTTATAAGTTGTGGATTTAACTTGTTAACTGTCCCCAACTTATGCACATCTGTAATTAGAATTTGATTAAATGCTAGTTACAACTTTAAGGTTGTGGTTTTTTTGTTGAGTGTGTGAATGTAATTTTATATTTTAAGTAGGATAATATTATTTGTTCTACATGTTACACACTTCTTCCCAATCTTGATTACTTTGCATTTTGATCCTACCCTTGCATGTATTTTTACTTATGATCGATAGTAGTGGATATCAAATTTATTTCATGGACATTGATGGTAGTTCTTAAATACTTTCAACTATACTATTATGCATGCAGTGCATACTCTATCTTCAACGAAGACTTCAGAGAGCTTCCAGGGACGCTTAACGCAGATCGGTTTGATAGAGATATAAGAGCGGGACAGTTTTGAGCCTTATCCTCCTCATCATCCAAATGCTGATTTGGCCTCGCATGATGTATATCTGCCCAATCACAAGGAGCTCTAGACAGAAAGAGTTAGCAAGTACAGTAACTTTTCAGCAATGTTGTATTTTAGCCCAACCCAGAAATCAATGAAGTGACATGTTTTCTGTTTAGTTTTGACTTTCCTTCTACTAAACCTATGCCTGCTCTGTATGTATATTACAGTACCAATATATTGACATGTTCTGGACTATGTTCCCCTGTGAATAACTCAGTTTCTGGTCCCTAAGTTTCTGTTTGAGTTTCAGAGCTCTTGTGAACTCTTTTGGTGTCGTGGGATGCTTTGGAACATACATACAGAGTCTTGTTAGGATTCCAAAGCTGAGAGTGACATTTAAACATGTGAGTAAATCATGTAGTACTATAATACTGCTATATTATTTTTTGTTGACATGAAATTTGATATATTTTCAATGAGTCTAGTACTTAAAAAGAATATTTGTATGTAACTTCTAGGATAACCAAAATAAATTCCTATTGCATGTATCTTTGTAGTCTAAAATAACTTCATGGTCATGGAAAAACACATTAACTGATTGCATAGGTTGTTGTATGAATCTGTGACTGAATTTTAAGATCATAAATCTGTGTTAAAGGTTGAGTGTATGTATGTTTGGAAACTCTAGTTTGTTTCCTCTCGTTGCGCCCAAATGGCAGCATAAAATTGGTCATTATGAACAAGAGATTATCAAGGGTTTCTCATTTTATGATAAAAAGATGCAAATTTTTATTTAAGATAATATATAAAAAATTAAATACATGTCAACATGAAAATTGTAATTTAGAAATCATTTTGACCAAGAACATCTTAGTGTACTCTAACTTTTGCTAAAGCATTAGTTTTGTTCTTTTTCTTTTCAACTGTTTTCTCTTTCTTTGACGAGTGTTATTGGATCTGGTGAATTGGAAGTGTAGTTTTCAAAACCGGTTTGACTGCTTTCTAGCATCTTTTTTTTTCACTCTGCAGTCAATGTCTCTTCTCCACTTTTGAGGCTGTTCAAACAACAGACTATTTATAGAGTTTGACAATTTTTACTCAAATAAACCTCGTTCCATTCAGCCAATAGTATTAAGAAATGATAAAACTGTTGAAATAATTGGTTTTTTTTTTTTTCATTTTAAATTATTCTAAAACAAAAATTAACTGCTGTGGTTATTTGTGAAATGTTCCTTTGGTAAATGTGACTGTTTTTATTTATAAAAATTTCAGAGTTGTCTGTATTTCTAATTGGATGAAAACTTATCCCTCGACATTACAACATTAACTATTCTTCGAGTGTAAAATGAATGAACGCAACTTCAATTTTTTAAAATAATATTATTATCACTTTTTATTATAATAACTTTTTCTCTAATTAATATTATAAACACTACTAAAATATTAAATTTCATTTTGTATTTATAATTAAATAATGAATGATTATTGTGGAAAAGGTTTTTTGCGGTGACAGGTATATATGGTGATTGAAGAGGGAATATTTACAAAATTAATTCAAACGCTCAAGAAAAATGAAATTTAAAAATTAAGAATGATAATATATTGGTAATGATGCAGTGTTACATGTATTTATATAAAGGGTACTTAAAGCCGTTATCGTTATGCCATTGAATGTATATCAAGTTGATATGATCAACGGTTAAATTGAATACGCATGGATGTCCAAACCTGTTTATTGATTGAATAAGCGTCTACATCTAAATTTGGGTTTATAGGTCTGAACAAGTTTTAAAGAGATAAAGTCCTACAAAAATGTGAACCCGAAAATATTTATATTTAGAATATTGGAAACCCAATCCTGCACGGCACGATAACTTGACATGGGGCAGTGAAGTCAACTATGTGAAAGTGATGTTAAAAGAACATCTTACTAACATCGACCAAAGCACTAACCTACGCAGTTCCCCCAAACATAAATGTGCACCAGCATTTTGTTTTGTTCATCTGATTCTGAAGTTGTTTACTTCCCACACTCCAACAATTACCAATTTAAATAATGAAAAATTTGTTAGTGCTCTTAAGTCTTAAGACACAACTTAACAAAGCTAAGCACTCTTTTTATTCTAAATAAAATAAAATTATATTTCTAAAAGTCTATCAATTTCAACTTTCAATGTAATGTTATGTTTTTTTTTTCTTTTTCAAATGTATCATATGATTAACAGTATACTACCCACTCCATCACAAATTCAGTGCTTTACTTATTACAAAAGTATTTTAAAAACAAATTTTTAAAATTTTATTGTTTAATTAATATTACGACAATTTATGTTTTTAGATTTATTGAATAATCAGTGAATTTAGTCTATAAATCAACCGAATACATTGGTTATTCAATTAACTTAAAAAATAAATTGTCTCTTATATAAAAGAATGGAGATAGTACTATTTGTATTGATTATTCAATTAATCTAAAAAATTAATTTTGTTTTATCAATTAAATCAGAGGGAATATGATTTTTTTAACAAATATAAAATGATCAAATCATTTTTGAAAAAGTAAATTCAATATAATCCATAGGAATTTATATTTTTTTCCCATTTATTATTATTTGTATTGGTTCCTGGTACTTTATAAATAGGATAATGCTAACTTGGGCACAGGTTAAAAAATCACAAATAAAAAATATGTATGAAAAAAAATCATTAATTATAAAGTTGTATTAAATTTATTACATAATTTTTAAAAATTATTTTTTATATTTATTTCTTAACTTGTGCTCTTGAGGCACAAGTTAGCATTACCCTTATAAATAATCTGGTCATGACAAATTATAAATTTATTATTAGTTGTAAGCGCAGTAATAATAATTCTAATATTAATGTTATGATAATGTTATAACATTTATTAGTGCGCTTATATTACTTTGAACCAACAATATTTATTAATATTTGTTAATAATATTATAAATCTCATGTTGTTGATTCAATGAATATTATCATTGATTCAAGGTCCTTTATAATAGTAATAAATTTGTTAATAATAGTAAGCCTATTAAAATAGGTCCTCAAAAGAAAGATGAGAATCAAGGACGGTGACACACTAAGGGTTGTGTAGGAAAGATAAAATGTATTTTGATTAATAGGAAAGTTTATTAATATTGAGTTTGGTAATTTTTATTTGCAAATATATATATATATATATATATATATATATATATATATATATATATATATATATATATATATATATATATATATATATATATATATATATATATATATATATATATATATATATATATATATATATATATATATATATATATATATATATATATATATATATATATATATATATATATATATATATATATATATATATATATATATATATATATATATATATATATATATATATATATATATATATATGTGTGTGTGTGTGTGTGTGTGTGTGTTTTTTGAATATGATTCTTCATATACTATAAAGTATATTGAACGAACAATATGAGATTTATTCATGGCTCAATCTGCTTATTGTAATTTTGATGAATCAAATTTCTCAGCATTAGGAGGAGAGAATAAAAAATTCAAAAAAGAGATGAGTTGAAATGAATTATTATTGTTTCATCTCGATCTTCAAACAAAACAACGTGAGCTAGAAGTTCAAAAGATAGTTCACTAGCAAATTAATTATCAAATGCATTCACTGATCCAAAACGCGTGACTAAATAATATATACCACCAGTTAATGCTCCAATAAAAATGGATGTCCCTATTGGGTAATCTAACAAGTCTCAACCACACATAAAGCACGACAGACGAACCGATTCCCAAAATAAAAATCCTCGAACAAGAAAGAGAGGTAAGAATAAATGTGTCCATTATTAGAATATTAATAGTAATTCATATTTATTTAGTTGTACTATTTTCTTAGCCCCTAAGTTTGTTAGAGGGTATTTTAGTATTTTATCTTATTCTAGTAACCCTAGTTTTAGCTTATAAATAGGGTGACAATCATTGTAACTTTTATCATGTTTTTGTAGCCGTCATTCTTAATAGAATATTTCCTCTGTTCATCATTTATTCACCTTTGCACCAACAATTGGTATCTAGAGCTCCGGTTCAGATTCATTGGGAAACACGGGAAAACACGAGTGAACGTGAGGTCTTGTGTGTTTGATTTTGATTCTTAGATTCGTGTTGAATCTTGAACAAAATCTGATCAGAATTTTATTCTGTGGGTTGGGAAACACTGTGTGAGAAATCTGAGTGTATTGTGCAAGGTGAAGATGAACAGAAACGGCAACATGAACACCAAGCTTCCAGTATTTGACGGTAAAAACTGGAATCGTTGGATGATCCAAATGCGTGTACTATTTGGTGCTCAAGATATTTTAGATCTTGTCACTGATGGTTATGTTCCGGTAGCAGCAGATGCAACGGATGAACAGAAAAACACGCAGAAGGAAGTAAGGAAGAAGGATCAGAAAGCATTATTCTTTATTCATCAATGTGTTGATGTAAATGTGTTTGAGAAGATTGCAGATTCAACGACAGCAAAGGCTGCGTGGGACACACTGGTTAGATGTTATGGTGGTGACGCATCAGTGAAGAAGGTGAAGCTTCAGTCCTTGAGAAAGCAATATGAGAATCTCAACATGAAGAATAATGAGAAAGTTTCTGAATACATCTCCAGAGTGATTCTGATCACTAATGAGATGAAGGCGTGTGGAGAAACTCTTTCTGAAGAAACAATCATGGAGAAGGTATTGAGATCCCTTACCTCTCAATTTGATTACATTGTGGTAGCAATAGAACATTCCAAAGATCTGAGTACCATGAGAATTGAAGAGCTGCAGAGCAGTTTAGAAGCGCAAGAGTTGCGTTTGACTGAGAGAACTTCTGAAAGGGAAGTAGAGCAGCAGGCTCTGAAAGCAACTTCTGATAGGAGGTATCAGAAGCAGTCAGAAGCCAAGAGAAGATCTGATGGTGGTCAGAAGTCA